TTTCATGTTAATTTTATTATTTTTATTTGCTTTGGCATCACTGATTGTACCCATCGGTCATGCTAATAAAGCACCTTGAATTGAGAGAGGGAGAGAGAGCACCGGAGATGGAGAGAGGGAGAGAGAGAGCACCGGAGATGGAGAGAGGGAGAGAGAGCACCGGAGATGGAGAGAGGGAGAGAGCGCCGGAGAGGGAGAGAGGGAGAGAGCGCCGGAGAGGGAGAGAGGGAGAGAGAGAGAGAGAGCACCGGAGATGGAGAGAGGGAGAGAGAGAGAGAGAGCACCGGAGATGGAGAGAGGGAGAGAGAGCGAGAGAGAGAGGGAGGGAGAGAGAGAGCGCCTGGGAGAGAGAGAGAGGGAGAGGGAGAGAGAGAGGGAGAGAGAGCACTGGAGATGGAGAGAGGGAGAGAGAGCGAGAGAGAGAGGGAGGGAGAGAGAGAGCGCCTGGGAGAGAGCGAGCGACAGATCCCCAGCAGCAGGAAGGGAGGCAGACGGGACTCTGGAGACCCCTCGCCCCGTGCCTCACCACGCAGTGCGAGTCGCAGACGGGCCGGGCCTGCGGCTTGAGCTTCCTCCTGAAGAACTCGCTCAGGTTGCGGTAGTGGTGCAGGTCCTCCACCGCCGCCTCCTTCATGTCCACGCCGAAGGTCCAGATGTACAGGCTGTACACGGGCTTGCGCAGCCAGGTGGGCAGCTCCACCTGGTTCAGGCGGCCCCAGGCGCGGGACAGCAGGCGCGTGGGGATGGACTTGTACAGGGCAACCTGGCGGAGAGGGGCAGGGTCAGGCCAAGACTCGGGCACACTGCCCGCCGGGACCTGGGGCAGCACAGCTGTCTGCCAGCGCGAATCGGGAGCTCCGCAAGAGTCTGACAGCACTCGCTCACACTGCCCCCTGACCGGCGCCGTCTGTCGGGGGTGGAGCGTCCCTCTGCCGGGCTCACAGCATGGCCCAGGCAGACACGAGGGCACCCCGCCACTCCCAGCAGACTCGGCGAATTTCATTCTTCAATGCAAAAGCGGCTGCCCCCTCCAATCCAGGAGACACATTTTCAGTTTCCTCTCCTTGCCCCCCTGGCGGGGGGCTGGCCCAGGTGCGCTCAGCAGCTCAGGGGCAGAGGAGCCTGCTGCTCGTGCAGTGACAGTGTTTGGGTTTTGCGGGTCTGGATGCTGGGATAGCACACGCACACACTCGTGAAACCGCGGGTCGGGCAGACACACAGCGCGGCGCCGCACACAGCCCACCTGCCCTGGCACAGTACTCACCCTGCTGGTGGGCCGCCAGCCCACTTTGGCCAGGGGTTTGAGGGCACCGAAGGGCAGGAAGTAGTAGAGGAAGGAGAGTGGCCATGAGCGCAGCTTCAGCGTGGAACGGGACATACAGCTGAGCTGGCCCAGCCGCCGCCGCAGAGCCAGCTGAGGAAACTGCAACCTGCACACGCACCACACGCATGCGGGGGACACGCAAGAGACATATGAGAGATCAGGACATGCAGGGGACATGGGAGAGATCAGGACAGGCATGGGACAGACAGAGA